CGTCGTATACGTGTTCTGAAAAGAAAGGAATTAAAGCTCCAATCAAGTGCTCTTTCCTTGGTCTCTTCGCTCATTTTTGACTGTTGCTTCACCATATCTTAAAGCAATTACAGTTTCAAAACTTTGCTATTCTGAGTTGAATGTAAGATTTATTTATTTATCATCTCAATACAACTATTATTACAGGATTAACCCCATGCAATAGTGTAGTGATCTTATATTTGTTTATTCAATATATACCTATGATATGGACAATACGTCATAATTTATATAGCATCGATACTGAAAATATCGACAAAAACAACGCTATTTCTTGTGGGTGGAGTCGTCGCCATATTTGAGAAACACTTGACTTCAGATCACGTGACCATATGTCATATCCCCTATTTTTCTTATATCTATGATTTAATAACGTTAATCTTCATGTACTCGCCGCAGAGTTGAGGTCTTTGGCCATTCCAGAAAAAATGGTAAAATGGATATTTAACTTTTTACATGAAAAAAGAGTTTTTGCTAAAGTTAATAATAATACAATTATTGGTCCTAGGTCCATTATTATACAATGCATATATATATGACATATTCACCTGTTTTGACTCCACAAACTACCTTTTATATGCGGATGATAAGAAGATCTTTTATAAAATTAATAATATTCAAGACTGCCATACCCTTCAAAGCACTTTAAACAAACTGTCGTATTATTACTCTGTTAATAATATAACTGTAAATGTACTTAAATGTCAAAAAATATCATTCACACGCAAAAATAAACCTATAAAATTTACATATAGTATAAATAACATCCCAGTTGAAGAAGTAGATGAAGTTCGTGATTTAGGCATTACACTTGACAAGAAACTGACAATGACAAAACACGTGGATACTATAGTGCAAAAAGCTTACAAAAATCTAGGATTTGTTCTACGTATTTGCAAACCTTTTTCAGACATAAACTGTATTAAAAGTATTTACTACGCGCACGTTCGAAGCGTTTTAGAATACGCAAGTAGTATTTGGTCTCCCTATTATATTACCCACAAACAACAAATTGAAAGTGTTCAGGCAAAGCTCATAAGGCACCTGAATTATAGAACTCACACTTATTCTGATTATGTTACAGGCTGCCGAAATCATAAAGTAATGTCCTTAGAAAATAGACGTACTCTCTTAGATATGATGTTTTTGTTTAATATAGCTAATGGCTACCTGGATTCCCCGGTTTTGCTATCTGCTATAAATGTAAATGTACCCAAGAAGCGTACAAGACACACCCCTTTATTCGCTCCCAACGCTCGAAATACTAACTATGGAAGAAACTCACCCTTGACTCGGATTTGCTCAATATACAATAAAAAATTCTCGAACTTAGATATATTTTACATGTCCAAAGATAAATTCAAACAAGAAGTTCTTAAGCTTTTACGGTAAATAACTTATCTATTTGCATACCTATTATTATAACATTAAAGTATATCATTTCATATGTTGTTTATTTTTTTTTATATTGATATATTATAAATAATACGTATGATAAAACATTTATTTATATATCTATAGACCCATACCTACACGAACACACACACACACACACACACACACACACACACACACACACACTCTTTCACACACACACACACACACACACACACACACACACACACACACACACTCACACACGCACACACATGCGTGCGTGCGCGCGCGTGCGCACGCGCATACCTCTTAGTCATAGTTTACTAGTTTCACCTTGTTCTTATTTGATATGTATTAAGAGTAGGAGATACCATTTAAGATTTATACAGGGAAACCTATAATTGGCTGTTATAATCATTTATAAATTATTAACATTGTATATTCATAAGAGCTGTTGGTTTTCTAAATAAATAAATAAATAAATAAATAAATAAATAAATAAATAAAGGTGATTGCCAAGGAGGAATATTAAGTCCTCTTATCTTTATTTTATAGATATTTAAATTAAACAATATTTTAAAATCAAATGTTACTAATTTACAATATGCAGATGATTTGGTCATATATGCCTCAGTAACAAATGTCAAAAACTTGGTAACCATTTTAAATGAGGCTTTAAAAATTGCACATTTACTTTTCATATTTAAATTTAGATATTAGTACTGAGAAAAGTAAAGTTGTATAATTTAATAAAATTCGTCCATTTAACACTAGAATAATTTATAATAATACATTTTTACCAATAGAAAGTTGTGCAAAAATTCTTAGGTGTAATTTTTACAAATAATTTATCTTGGACGAAATACGTGAATTCTATTACAGACAAAGCTTCTAAGGCCTTTAATGTATTAAAAGCTTTGGCTAGTACTAACTGGGGAGCTGATCCAGAAATATTATTAATATTAGATAAGTCTTTGGTGAGGATCCATTTTGAGTATGGCTTCCTTTGTTTTGCATCAAATAAAAAACTAGTAAAGGTTTAGATAATATACAAAATAAGAATTTAAGACTTATTACCGGCTATATGAGAACAACTCCTATTGTTTCTTTACAAGCTGAAAGTCTTACTCCTCCTATCTTACTTAGGTTTAAATATCTGAAATTTAGGTTTTTATTAAATATTAATTCTTTGTCTCATCATCCTCTTTTTCAAAAAGTATTATTTTACTATAATAGTATCTCTCCCATATCACTCAGCCCCATATATACTCCATGACTTTCATGAAGTGATACGATATGATGAACAATATAATATTCACAAAAGCACACATACTTGGCCTTGTTATAAGGGGAATTATCAAAGTAAATTCAGTGATATACACATAAATATTGATGAAAAATTGAAAAGAAAAGAAGAGGTTTATGAACTTATATCTTTATGTTCAAAAGTTGAAAATAAAGTAGCCTGTGCATTTTACATACCTCATCTGAAAACTGGACGTGGCCTTTCCATTCCTGCATCAGCAAGCATATACACTGCAGAATGTTTTGCTGTCTTAATCGCTCTTAAATATATAGAAGAACACCCACATCTATCTAATAAATGGTTACTGATCTCTGATAGCATGAGTGTCTTGAAGGCACTGAAGGCACATGAGTAAACAAACCGACCAGAGGGAAAGCTACATACAAACGACTCGCTTCGGGTACACCCACAAATAGCGCAACGATGTGTGCGTGAGCTCTCACCGACAGGTTCACCGACGCTCCGTCAGGGTACAAACCGGTTTGCGCCGGCTCAGTCAGAGTGTGGATGAAAGGGCTATTGGTCACGCGCATTGAAATAAATAGACGAATAATATTTCGTGATTTTATAGATCAATAAATCTATAATGTTTTTTACAATTAGAGTTAAGTTTAGAGATTGTGTACTATAAAATACGAAATTATAGATTTATAAGTATATATTTATATTAGATAATTAGTGTTCGTATAAGCTAAATGCCTAAGTTGTACAGTATGTATGAAAAATTCGAGACAAAATAATACAATAGCCAGACAGTGGTGCAGTCAGTGTTAGTGGTAGTAGGGCTGGTCATGGTGATGGTGGACGGTGGTGCTGATCGTGTGGTGTTGGTAGCGGTGGATGGTGGTGCTGTACGTGCTGGTATTGGTGTCGGTGATTGTGGTGGTGCTGGTAGTACCATTTGTGGTGGTGGTGGACAGTGGACCGCCACTGGCACTACCACCACGTCCAGCATCACCACCACAGACCTTACTACCGCCACCATCATCCTGGTAGTAACATTGGTGGTGGTGGTGTATCAACACCACCACTGCCCACTACCATCTTCGCAGTCATTACTAATATGTATATATGTATAGATATGTATATGTAATGTGAATCTAAGCATGAAAATTAGCAAAATATACAATTTTTGCAGTTTCAATTTTAATTACAAATAACAGACATGTTATTATATTAAATTAAGTTACAATGAATACACATGTTATTTTATACAATATAATAATTTTTATTTTTTCTTTACAAGTTGCACTTGCATCAGGTGATAACCCTATCAGAATAGGTATAGATTTTCGACGTTGTTAGAAGGCTTCCCCTCTGGTCTTCTTTACTCTGTGCTGAAGGCAAGAGCTTTAGATGCTAAAACATCTTTCATCATGTATGAAATCAAAAGTTTGTGGTGGAAATTGAAAGAAAATAATTTGGAAGTTAAATTTTTATGGACTCCGTCACATATTGGGGTTCAAGGAAATGAAAGAGCAGACCATTTAGCTAAAAGTATAATTACAGCTGATATTGACAGGGTAACCAGTGTTGCAATACCACATACAGATTTATATTCAATTTTAAAGCAACAGATAAAAGAAGAATGGAGAATGCAATGGAATGCTGTTTTAGAGGCAGAAAAAGGTCGTTGGTATGCATTAATTAATTCAGAATTAAGTATTCCTTGGTTTTCTCGCAACGAGAGATATCATAGCAGAAAATTTTATACAATAATGTGCAGACTTAGATTTGGCCACTATCGACTGAACGCTCATCTTTCCAGGATGAGAATAGTAGCATCTGCAACATGCAATTTCTGGGATACAGAAGCAGATCAGACTGCAGAACATATAATATTTAACTGCCCAGCGTACGCCATAGAAAGATTGCTAGTCATTGAAAAACTTATACAAGTCTATGACAACTCAGAAAGCGTCCCGCGTGCTCTGCAAAATGTTCTTAGGAATACTAAGACATATTTAGCACTTTGCAATTTTATTCATAAATACTGTAAAAAAAATATGAAATATGGTATCCCTGTTTTTGAAAATATTGGATTGACAAATCTACACGGATTGAAACTTACAAAGATTATAATATAAAGAAGACTTGGCTTTAGACTTTACGGGTTTTTGAAAATATGAAGAATTAAAGAAAATAAGACTTGACTTCGGCCTTTATGGAAGAAAAGTAAGACTTGGTTTCGGCCATTACACTTTAAAATTCTATATATTCAAAATAATAAAAGACAAGGCTGTATGGCTTAGTTCCTTTGCTGCTCTCTCGAGCGAATAATAAAAACAACAACAACAACTGGTCTACCGTATTTTTATAATAATAAATATTTTTAACCCCCGTTTGTTGTTGAAAAACAGAATTCAATTATATTAAAGCAATGGCCTTTAGTGAAGTTTGTAGAATTTGTTTATGCGTTAATGAACGCATGTTGGTACTAAAGGAGACTGGTCTCAAAAATTTATACAAAGCATTGACGGACACTTTTGTAAGTTTGTTAATATTTTTTAAATATTGCTAATTGTAGTTGCGGTAATTTGTTGTTATCGCCGGAGAAGTACATTATAACTTGCCTTAATGCTGCTCTGATTTGTATTGTGAGTTTAGAGAACCGGAAACCCTTTTTACTGAGGCGGGGTGTTCCATCTTGGTTCTCAGTAGTGACAGCACATCTGCATTTTGATTCTTAAGCTTCGTTAAGTCAAACACAGCGAATATTCGTTGCGAATATAAAGCCCGCTTTTCACTATGGGATATAATATAATATATATTACATCTCGAGATATAAATTAATATCGCTCACCATACATTTCCTATGGAACCGTTCACACTGAGCTATAATAAATATTACATCTCAAGCTATAAATATTTTTTCGATCGACCGAGTGATATTTTCATATTATATTTCGCCCCCTGTACCCCGCACACCGTTCCACGCCCCCGCAAACAGTGTACGGGGTAAAGGGGGGTAATCCAATGACCAATGACGAACGCACAATGGTTAAAAGATATATCTGACAGTGTGAAAGCCAATCGTGGGATATAATTTATATTTCGGGATATAATATATATTATATCCCATAGTGAAAAGCCAGCCTTACTCGCAGCGACAATTCGCTGCCTGCCTGTCACACAGCGAATACTACACGAGAATTATCTTTTATATTCTTAATTTTTTTCTCAATTGATCTTGGGTTGCTATTTCGAATCCCAACTGTTTACACGACACGGCTTTAGTAATTTTGAAGTGATGCCTCTAATTTGTGTGTTGTTTGAATAATACAATAATGATTATCAAAATTTTCTAGATCATAATGTACATATATTGTTTTATATGTTTCAATTAAGTCTCCTGATTCTCTGTGATCTTTCTGAGTTGTTCAGACTTTCCTCATGTAGTATGTTCTCAATGATCTAGAATCTTTTGAATATCTGTGTTGAAGCTTCTCTAGGTTGAAAATATGTTTTAAATATTTTTAGTATTAATTCTGGTATTATTATTATTTACCTTTGTTGCAACTGCAGTTTTTTTATTATTTTGACCTGTTATGAGGAAAATCCTGCTGCCCATAGCCTTATGAGATAAAATAATCTAATTGCTAGATGTCCAAGCCCACCTGGAACTTACTTTATACTGCTATTGATATTAAATTAAAAAGGTTAAAACTGCTAGGGGGTGCATATTGTTATTAACATCAATTTGAAACTAAGTGACAGTGGCCTAGTTTAGTTTAGTTTAGTTTACGACGGACTGTTTTCCGAAACTCCACGTCTATGTGCTTATTTTGCATGTGGGCAGGAATAATGTCATTATTCGAGCCATGAGATCTCCCCGAAGAAGCTTAACAGTCCCTTGATGTTGCATGCAACTTCAGGGAGTGATCCCGGCGTGCAGAGATGTTTAGCCCTGTACGTAGCAACCTCCGGACCTTTTAGTAGCATGTGGGCTGCCGTTTCTTCCTCCCTCATACATGCCCTGCACAGGGGAATATCTGTAACACCTATAGTAAGTAACTGTTTGTTAAAGGTGCCGTGTCCTGTGATAGCACTTGTTACTATCCTGATCTGCGGCTTGTTCAGTCTCATTAAAACTTTGGTTAAGGGACTGTTTATTTCAGGCAGGGCCTCCCTAGCTTGTCTACAGTCTACTAGATTTTTCCAAAGCTGAGCGTTTTGATTAGTGAAGTGTCTACGTACCAGTGAACGAACGCTACCAAAGGGGATTGGTATGATTGGTTCCGGCCCTATAGTGGCCAGAGCCGATCCTCTTCTTGCCAGTTCGTCTGCTGCATCATTGCCTCTGGATCCACTGTGTCCCTTTATCTATTGCATAGTCACATTGTTGTTTTTACATACCTCATTTAATCGTTGATGGCATTCATATATTAGTCCTGAGTTCACCTCATTGCAACTCAGAGCTTGTAGTACTGTCGGTCAGTATTCTGATGGGGAAATCATTAACCTTCCTAGCATCTATTGCTATGGCCGCTTGAATGATACCCATACATTACGCCTGAAAGACCGTGTTATAGGTACCCAGCGGTGTGCATATGTGAATAATGAGGTCTTCAGAGAAAGCTCCAGAACCTACCTACTAATACATTTATGAAAATGTAATGTACGTACACAAAAATAAAAGTAGTTTTACAAAAATAAGTGATATTCATTCTGTAAATACTAGGAACAGACACAAGCTAGTAGTACCAGTTACTCGACTCCATCGGGTCAGTAATTCATTCTTGGGGCGATGTATACGCTTTTACAACAAAATTCCAGAAAATATACAAAGTTTGACCTGTTCAAAGTTCAAAAACTTTATTAAACTAAGTTTGTATAAAAAGGGTTATTATAATATTAAGGAATTTATGGATGATAATAACCCCTGGAAATGAGGTGATCGCTACCAAGCTATTTCTAATTTGTTGTGTTGTTAATTTGTGTAACATCATGATTGTAAGCTGTTATTTAAAAAAAGTCCCGCTGGGTTTCTTGCTGGTTCTTCCCAGGACAGGTTTTTTTCCGAACCAGTGGTAATCAAACAAAAGAGTGACTTTCAATAAGTATTATTTATAATCTTTATTGAATAAAAAAGTTTCTGTTTCTGTTTCTGTTACACCTTCATTTGTTTTAGAACCATCGGTGAAAACTCTAAGCTCTTTTGGGCTTAATCCTTCCGGCTGGCTGTTTTCATTTAATTGTATTTTGTATTTCTGATCGAAAACAAATTGTTTAGGAATCTTATGGTATTTGGCTTGTAGGATAGGAATTTTTGAGTGAATTCTATCAATTATGCCTGTATGAGGGACACTATTCTTACTCCAAAGATTTAGGGTCTTGAGTCTGATGGCAGCTAAAGTCGCTTCTTGTTGTATATGTAGATGAAGCGGAGTTAGCTCCAGCATCGCTTCTAAGGCTGCTGTTGGCGTAGTTCTTATGCAGCCTGTGGCAGCCATACATGTCAGTCTCTGGTAGCGCTGAAGCTTCTTAATTGTGGTGGCTTCATTTGTCTCGGTCCACCATACCAGAGTGCCGTATGTGATCATGGGCCGAATTACAGTTTTGTAAAGCCACAGTATGATTTTTGGCGTCAGTCCCCATCTTTTGCCAATCATGTTTCTGCATTGCCAGAAAGTTATACTAGCTTTGTTGATTTTGTTTTCTATGTGTTTATTCCAGTTAAGTTTGCTGTCCAAGGTAAGACCTAAATATTTTACCTCAGAGGATAGCTGGAGTTTAGTGCTGAAAAGACTTGGAAGATGATAGTTATTCAACATTCGTTTTTGTGTGAACATTACTAAAACCGTTTTATTTGGATTGATGGTTAAGTCGTATTCCCTGCACCATCTCTCTACTATACGGAGAGCCGCTTGGGTCAGGTCGCACACTATGCTTGCTGTCTTTCCAGAGACCAGTATTGTCAGGTCATCAGCATAACCTACTGTATAGAAGTGATTGGCATTTAATTTGCTGATGAGTTCATTAATGACGTATTTCCACAGGAGAGGTGAGAGAACCCCACCCTACGGGTAGCCTTTCTTAATTTGGATTGGTTGAGATTCACCAGCAATCTTTATTATTTGTGTACTGAGCATGTAAACTATCCAGTCGATCAGTGCCGGTTCAACTTTATGTCTACTGAGTGCACCTTTTATGCTGGAGAAGTTCGTTCTGTCAAAAGCACCTTCTATATCTATGAAGGAACCTAGACATATTTCTTTGTTTTGGATGGCCTCTTCAATCTTTGTAATTACCTGATGAAGTGCCGATTCTGTTGATTTGCCTAGACTGTAGGCGTGTTGCTTGTCGTGTAGTGGTAAGTTCATTAGCACCGATCCCCTTAATTTCCTTTCACACATCCTCTCCATCGTCTTTAGGAGAAAGGATGTGAGGCTAATGGGCCTGTAGGATTTAGGGTCTGTGTAGTCGCTCTTACCTGGTTTGGGTATGAATGTGACTTTCACTTCCCTCCATCCCCTAGGAACATATTTAAGAGCCAGATAGGCTCTCATTATGGCAACAAGTCTGACTATTAGGGCTTTACCCCCCCACTGTAGGAGAGCCGGGAATATGCCGTCAGGTCCTGCCGCCTTATAGGGGAGGAAACTGTGAATGGCCCAATGGATTTTGTCCATCGTTACCACTCTCTGTGCTAAATTCCAGTCTTCTGCTGTTGGTGTCAGTATGTCGTCATGCCGGTTTGCCTCCTGGGTTACGCAGCAACCTGGGAAGTGCGTTTCAATTAGGATGCGTTGGGCTTCATCCGGCGATGTTGAGTGGCTACCGTCGGGTTTCTTTAGAGACATGGATCCCGACGTGTTCTGTTTAGCTAGAATATTCCTTATCCTATTTGCTTGTTCGCAGGTTTCTATGTTGCCACAGAATTTACGCCACCCAGTCGAGCGTCGATACCTGATACATTTTTTGTATTCAGACTTAGCTTTCTTATATAGTAGCCAGTCTTCATTAGGGAATGCGATCTCGCGAGATTTTAGACCTAGCCGAGTTCTCGCCCAATTGGGTATTTTTACTAAAAACATTCGCTAATACTATTTTTTGTTTGTTTATTGATTTTCAATATATAAGATAAAAATAAAACATACATGTAATTGGCATATTATAATCATTTATTTTAAAATAAAACACAATATTACGTTATAATATAATATTCGTCAGTCTTATTCTTATTATATAAACTGAAAATCAGCCTTCTGCATCTGCAGTATTAAGAACAAAAAACTTAAAATAAAACAAAAACAACACTTCGAAATATAACAAAGATCAGACTTCTGCAGTGTTAAGAACAAAAAACGCAAAATAAAACAAAAAGAACACTTCGAAATATAACAAAGATCAGCCTTCTGCAGTGTTAAGAACAAAAAACTCAAAATAAAACAAAAGGAACACTTCGAAATATAACAAAGATCAGCCTTCTGCAGTGTTAAGAACAAAAAACGCAAAATAAAACAACAAGAACACTTCGAAATATAACAAAAATCAGCCTTCTGCAGTATTAAGAACAAAAAACTTAAAATAAAAATAAAAATTACTTCAAAATATAACACTAAATCAGCCTTCTGCAGTATTATGAACAAAAAACTTAAAATAAAACAAAAAAACACTTCGAAATAATACGAAATATAACACTTATTCAGCCTTCTGCAGCATTTGTAATTTTAAGGATATGTAAGTATTATTAGACAGTGTTATTAAAAGGATAAGTTATTTTTGAAAGTGGCTTCTCAAAAAACACAGCATATCAAGGGTTTCATCTGATAGACGACTCCTGATTTTACAGGCCAAGTACCCCGCGGCCGAAAATGCTCTTTCTGTCTCTACACTAGTTGGAACCACAGTCGACAAACAGTTGTGTACAAACTGAAGGAGTTCACCTTTAACCCCTCCAGCTTCATACAAATTCATCTCTTTTTTAATGAGTATCTCCAATGAATTTGTAGAATTTGTTGAACGATTGGGCTTTTTCAATGCTGTCAACGATTCTAGTAGCTCCTCTTGAAGGGAAATACTTTTTCCAGCCGTGGATAGAACAGAAAGGCGCACATTATCATTAGCGTCTTCACTTTCGCCAAGTACAACATCATTACAAGCAGCTGCTGATGTTGAAGGAAGTGGCTCTGTAACAGATGAGCTTTCTTGTGTATGATAGTAGTATTGCGTCTTGCAGTGCAATCTCTATAAGTTTTTTAATTTCTTTTCGGATACTGACTTTCTGTGACATTTTGAACGTTTCGTCCCGCGCATACTCTTCCAAATCTTCCTCATATTTGACATAATCTCTCAAATATATCAATACTGAAGTCAAGCAAGTTCGGCGCTCGGCTATGCGGTTTCTCAATGACTCTGCTAGTTTTCTTGCCAATGTTGTCGTCAGTTCTTCAAGTTTGCGTATCATAAATCTTAAAGTCGTTTCGGCAGTAACCAGGTCAGAATCTCGACGGCATAAGACCTCCACAGCGAGTTTGACAGGCTCAAATACTCTGTCTAAGTTTGTAAAAACTGTATACTCTTCTGCACTCAAAGAGTAATCCGAATTAGTGTCAAGACCTAAATCGATCAATGCTTTGCCGACACATAGTTTAACTTTATTAAATGTCGATATCATATCAGCAAGGCTTGACCAGCGTGTTTTGCAATCTAATTGTAGCTGAAAGTTTTTGCCAAATTCTTGGTTAATGTAAACTTGGAGAAGATCGTTTTTTGTTGGCGATTTCTTAAAAAGTCTGACCAGTTTTCTGACCTTTTCTATGATACTCGCGTACTCTGTATCCAGATCTACCTCTCTTGTTGGAAAAAAAGAGTAAAAAAACGTCATCTTCGTCATCGGAGTTTATTTCGGTTTCTTCTCCTGATACGTCAAATATATCATCAATGTCATTGTCCTCAGACAAAGATAAATCTTGTTTTTTGTCCATGATAGACAACTGAATGCCGTGGGCATAGCAGAGCTGATGTAGAGGATTAATCAAACGTCCTAATTTGATCATTACCTTAGCCCCATCTGTTGTAATGTTGACTAAATCGTCGTCAAGAGACAATTCAAATTCTGAAAGTCTGTTCTTCAAAAGATCCACTGCAGTTTCGGCAGGCATACTGCCGTATATTCTGATCAAGTCTAAATTCCAAAATATGACTTAATTTTCTTTGCATGTGTGGACATTCACGTTCATGTAACGTCTATTTCTAGAGGAAGTCCACTCATCGAAGGTTAATGTAAATCTGTATCTGTAGTTATCTTCCTTTAGCTGAGAAAGTTCTTGTTTAAGTTTTATTTTTAAGGTCATTCCGTAATTAATTACCATAAGTTTAATTGAATTAGGAGATGACGGTAATTTGTGTCCCTTAGAACAAAAAAGGTCTCTCAGGTCTTTTGAGGTGCAAAATACACGAAAAGATAAACCGTCTTTAGCCACCATTCTTGAAACCATAATTTCCTTCGAAGTATCTTCGTTGTGGAAATGGTCCGTAATTTTTCGCTTTTTAGGTACAGTTGATGATTTTGATTGCTGAAGAGTACTATCTGAAGAACAAGCTGGTCCGAAAGCTGCTGGCTCTGGCGCCGCTGGCCCGGCAACCGGAGTCCTCATTGCAGTTTCTACATTTTCCTCAATCTGAACATCACATTTTTTTTCGAATCAATGTTATGTATAGACTTCAAGTGTGTGTGTAAGCCTTTTGCAGAACGGTCTTTAGCTTTCAAAATCTTCCCACACACCTTGCACTTTGCACTGAGTCCATCATTGGCTCTTAAGCAATATTTCCAAACTTCTAATGAACTTCCGTATTCACTGTACACTGTTTTTGAGTTTGTCGACATAGTTCAATGCCAAATTACATTAAATGTTACACTAAAATAACCAGTTAATCACAAAAATCCCTTAAATTCAACAAAAACTAGATAATTACGTAAACAAATGCACGCGTGCCGGCAAAGTGATGACAGTGAGTGAGCCGGGCCTCGTCTCCCGCAAGTCCCGCGCGAGTAGTGCCTACAGCATGCGCAGAACAGTTCGCGCGCAACCGCGCTACGATATACACACCGATTTTGCTGCGCCGCTCAATCTCGCAATCTCGCGAGATCTCTTATAAAAATTGAACGAGACTCGGTCTCGCAAAATATGAACGAGATTGCATTCCCTAGTCTTCATCTATTGAGGTATTCATGGCCCTATTTAGGGCTTTTCTTACCTTCTTACGTCTCCTATCGAGTTCTTTACCCCACCACGGTTGCTTTACCTCGGCATGCCTTGGTGGAGTGATTTCTGGACGTGATTCATGGTAGCTGTCTATCATGGCCTTAGTAAGAGCTGCTACCTGTTCTTCTAGAAGCGACTGATCTGCTATAGTATATATCCCCTCAAAACCCGCGAGCGAAGACGTCAGCCTATTTAGGTATTTTGTTTTATCCGTCTTGCGGGGATTTCTTGTGGTGTAGAGAAGATATCGACCTATAGTGCGAAGCAGATCCATCTATGGTCTGAGCATGAGGCCTCTTTCGACACATGCCATCCCGTAATTAGTTTGGCTGCTCCTTCTGTTGCAAGTGTGAGGTTGATTATAGTGCGACAGCGTTTGTTTATCAAAGTAGGTTCAGAACCTTAAAATGGTTAGGTTAGTACTAAATAAATATTCAACTAAAACCTTACCTCGTTCATTTGGTTTTTCCATTCCCCAAAGGGGATGATGTGCGTTCGAGTCCGTCCCGATCACAACCTTTAGTCCGGTCCTCTCGCAGAAGTTCACCAGCCTGCCGAGGTCATGAGGGGGAGGAGTGTCTTCCTCTGGCATGTAGACCGAGGCGACGACTAATCTTCTCTCCTGTGCATACTTGTCTCTAGAACAGAAATCTGTTAATGGTTCTGTTACGGCCTACGGCTGCTCCCTTAAAGGGTCCAGTCCTCTGGGGCCCATGAGCAGAAGACTTCCCGAGCAGACGTAGGTCGGGCCTCAATGTGGCCACGTGGAATCTCTCTAATTACAATAAACCAGATGGGAGGACGTTAGAAGGACATAGTACTTACCATTCAAATGGCGCAAATACCATTATTACTCTTTAGTTCAAATACAAATTACAATACAAATAAGCTACACATCACGGTCGATCAACAAAAATGCCTAGCTCGGAAATCGACCCTTCGATAAGTAATCCACTACAACTATCCGACAACGATAATTAACCGATTACGTAAAAATAACCATATACCTACATGACGTATATCTCTAGAAAACTCCCGCTTGCGCAACCTAGGGCGCGGCTTTTCAAATCTACCCACTAACCAAAAAAAGGCAAGCAACAAAGCAACAAGGGAAAATAATTTTATTATTACGTACAAAAAAATATTTTACGTATTACGGACGGGCGTGATTGTAGATACAAATTAAACCAATCAAAACAACGCTCCCTGCCACCAGAATTGTTTAATTTTTATCAAACACTATGATCGGGATCGACCGGGGAATCGAACCCGGAACCGCGCTCTGCTACCAGTTGTTACGGCCTACGGCTGCTCCCTTAAAGGGTCCAATCCTCTGGGGCCCATGAGCAGAAGACTTCCCGAGCAGACGTAGGTCGGGCCTCAATGTGGCCACGTGGAATCGCTGTAATTACAATAAACCAGATGGGAGGACGTTAGAAGGACATAGTACTTACCATTATCCGAAGCTAACTTCGAACCAAGGCTTGGGCAGGCCGTGAGTGTGTGTAATAGTGGATGGAGAGTAGTGTACAGTGAGGGGTGAATGTGTGGGGCCTTGTCAAGCATAGGCGACCAGCCGCTGCCGAGTTCCAGGCTGCTCCAAAATGCTGCACCGCTTCAGACTGCTTCGGTGCCGGACCACAATCACTTTCCTCTTTCGTCACGATGACAGTCAATTAACTCTATCGTGCGATTAACTAACTTACAGAAGCCACTAACTATCGCGGGGTATAAGGTTACCGCACAAAACGCACACGGAGCCTCTGGACCAAAGGTCGCTACCGTTTTGCGTCGCAACAGTTAGTTCTAGAATATCAGAGGCCGCA